ATTCTATGATTCTATTTTATGCCAGTCTGAGAAAGCTTCCCATGGGTATTTGATTCTAGTATTTAACAGGTTTTCATCAATGTCAAAGCACTGCTAGTCCTATAAGTATCTAGTCATGGGATCTGTGCTTCGATGGGACTGTAACAGTCATGTGGAAAAGCAAGGTTTGCACTAGGTTGTAAACCCCTCCTCCATGACCCTCTTAGACACTTGTTGGTCTACCACTAAAAAAATAAAGAACACTTTTTAGACTTTATATCTATCTGGACAGGTATATAGGGTATTTTTTTTGTGCCAAGCCCTTAGATCTGGAGGGTATTTCTCCAGCTGCAGAAACTGATCTATTTCAGGTGTGTTGTGGCCACAGCTGTCTGTGTGCCAAGGAGGGTCTGAGCGCTCGGGGACAGGGTATCCCTGCATCTCCAAGAAGTCCCCTGGAAGAGGAGCCTGCAATGGCCTCCAAGAGAAGAGCTCTGAGAGTTTGGCCCTTGGCTCTGGAGAGCTGCACAAAGCTGGCAGCAGCTCTAGGACAGGCAGTAATAGAACATCTTCAGTCCCAGGTTGGCAGAGACATAAATACCTTCAGAATTTATGCATCTAAATGGTTTTGAGGATGATTCATGTAATGAAACTGTCCCTCAGTCCCACTTCAAGGTGCTTTTGCTGATTTGGATCCTCACCGTCAGCATGAACTGCCATGATGTCAGTGGAGCTGATGTGATTTACACCAGCATATTATCCCAAAATTCATTGGCCAACTGCCTAAACACCTTTGCAGTTATACAGAAACCAGTTTTAAGAACTGACAGAGGAGGAAGGGCTCTGTCGTGCAAAGCACCAGTGCCATACATGCAGTCCAAATGCATGCATTTGACATCACCTTCTCAATAAAAGTGTTCTCCACTCCGCAGCAGATATTCCCTGTGATGTACATGGAGCCCCTTGAACGGCATGCAGTGCTCCCACAATATGTGTAAAAGAGGTATTGCCCCAGTCCTGCCGTGCTCGCTTGCTTTTTATTTGCTAGAAGAAATTCAGAGTGGGAAACAGAAGCCCTGTTGGGTCCAGACTGAGTTTGCACTACTTGCTTCTCAGCCCAGGACTTGCTGGAGCCTCTCTGATTTTTGTTCGATAGAAAGGTTTGCCTCCAGACCACACTGCATCCCCGTATTAATATGCATAGTGTTACTGTCTCTCTTTCAGCTACCTACTAGTGAGATCACCCAGTGGGACCTCCTTACGCAAGGGATGTATAGGGAAATATGGGCTGAAGTTATCCCTATTTAGTCTTTGGTCCTAAATGGTGCAAAAGAAGACAATCAGGGCAGAGAAGCGGATCTTTGGTAACGAGTGCCGTCTGACACCTGAATCTGAACTTTTACATCAGGGCAATGAGGTAAGCAGTGGGGGTCTGCGCACCCACCCTGTTTCAGGAAGGCTAGAGCTGCCCTACCGTTGTTAACTCTCTTGCACACGCTCCATCCAACCCCAAGAGTCCCACATTTACGGCCTTATTTTGGAAAATAAGCCTGATACTCTGGGAGTTTGACTTTCCTGGTTCCTGCATCTCAATACGCTGTACCACAAAACAGTGATGAGTGAAGGAGGTGACACCTCTTTGTAACAAAGGGCCACTATTTTTTGCTCTTCAAGTGGTTTGAACAGAGCATCTGGCAAATGAGATGCTCTGCAACCAGTTCTGTTAACACTGTGAATGGTCACGAGTGATCATGGCCCTGACTAGAACGTCTCTGTGTGTCCTTTGTGTTAAATCAATCTCCAGCGTCAGATTGAGCGTTAGCTTGGGTGACAAATTGACGCCACACTCTCTCATTAGCCTGCACTCACTGCTCCCTGTGCAAGGCACAGCAGCGCTTCTGTGAGGCCCAGATTTCTCCTGTCCCTCCCTCCCTCCAGATACAGCCGTTTCGAATGTCCCTCCTTGCAAACAGGCGCTGAAAACAACAAAGAGTCCCTCTCACACTCTTCACCCTGCAGGTGGCAGCCAGAGAGAGGTTTCTCATGGGTTCTGCAGGGATCTTTCCTTGGTGAGAACATCTCATCCTCATTTGACCTTTCAGATACACAGACAAAGGTAACTCAAGACAAAGAAGGGTGTCAGGTACGTCCCCTCAGCTATCAGCTGCCTTGAAACGCCTCTGCAAACACCCCTGAAGAGACGGCATGTGCTGTTCTGCAGCCTGATGCAACACTGATTTGTTGCCCCTACAAAGTGTCCTCATAATTGTATGAAATTGAGTGTGAATGAGCAGTTGAATCGCAGTTCATCAAACATCATTAATCCAAAACAGAGCAGCAGAAATACTCCTTTTATCTTGCCTAAGGGTTGATTATATAAATACAGAGCACCCCAGAATCAAAAAAAAAAGAGTGACCAAGCAGATGCTTGCTAGTCTGTGAAATCTTTTATAATGTAAAAATCGCTTTTATCTCTCACTGTCAGTTTTTGAGTCCTATCACTGTGCTGCCTGTATGCTTTGATAAATGGCAATAAATATATTCAGCACATGTGAAATTCATTAAAAAAATCCATCTACTTCATGTAATTTAGAGACAACAGAGAAATCATAGAAAAATACAACATTTATAAATGTCTGCTGTGCAAAACTGGACTGTAACGAGCTTTTCGACCAGAATCCCAAAAAAGGAAAGGGAAAAAAAAAAGGGACAAATTAATTAAAAAAATATGATCAAGCGCAGGTTGCGTGATCTGCCCTGTGAAGAGTGTGCCTTCTTCCTGATGGCTCTACATAGACTGTCCTTTATTCCCACAAAACATAGCACAGCATGGACTCAAAGTGTGTGAATGTGTTCCAGAAATGGCCCCATGGGGTGAGGGAAAAGAGCAAGACCCTCTCCACTCTTGGTCCAAAAGAAGCTGATTTGATGTGTAGGTTACAAACAGACACATCCCCAGCGCCACCTTCTCCTCAGCCAGTCGGACAGGAGGACATGGTGCGAAGCGTGAGAATTTGCACTGAAGATGTGGCAGTGTGGGGGTGTCAGTCCCTCTGTCCCCAGGCGCCCGGGCATGGCCTGCCCGCAGCAGCCCACCAGTGCAGCCTCCGTGCCTCCCTCCCGCTGCGGAGTAGATGGTGGCTAGCGGTCTGGTCCAGACCACAGACCAGATTTAGAGATGAATAGCATAAACATGGTAAAACTGTCCACTTTATGTAAGCAGAGGAGCTTGGGTTTTTTTTTTCTTTACACTGAGAAAGGCATACTGAGGATATGAAAACTAGGTGTTTAAAATACATTCAAGGATTTGGATGCCAAGCAGCAGATGCTGGAGGCTGCATATGAGACACAAATCATAACCTCGTGTCCCAACACAGACTATTCAACCACAATAGATCCTTTGCAGATTCCAACAATCGCTTGATACTCTGACCCTTGCATTTTCTATACACTGTCAATTTTAACCGAACTTTGTATTTTTTAAAGGCATGGAAGCGTCTTGAAGTACTTATCTGCATTTTGAAATACCTGTACCTCTCCTGGACCTGGCCTTCACTTGCTACACAATTACATGTCTCAGTTTAATTGCCTCACCGTGGCTTTATCATACATGGATGAAACATGCTGGAGCTGAGACGGTGCCTGTTCTTTCCCACTTGCTGTTTGGGAGCATTTGTGCTCTTAGTAAAGAGGTCAGAAAACAGGCATGGACCTGAAAGAGTTCTCAGATTAGCCTGGCAAACATGCCTCGTTTTCTGTAGCCCTCAAGGAAGTAGATGTTGTTATCATTAACGTCACATCAGGCCAACTCAGATGACCAGGAACCCACTCGCAGCCGGGTCAACAGGAAAGCAGCTTTCAACAGGAGGCCAAGCCTGAACGCGTGCCCCTGCATTGAGGGTCATTAAATGTGTGTTTGAAACACCCGAGTAAGAGCTCAAGTAACATTTTCTTTTCAGGGTTGCACCCCCTGTTATGAACCTATGTCACTGAAAGCAGAATTCAGCTCCAAGAGGGTCTGCAAGGGAGGGAATAATGCTGCAATAACAGAGTCAAGCTCGCTGCGCTGGCAATGAATGCTTATCTCACGCTGCTCTCCCAGTGAGCAATGTTTAAAATAAATAAATACTGCAGGGGAGTTGCTATTAGTGCAATTGTTGGGTTGTATTCTTGTGGCAAGCTTTTTATCATAATAGTGCAGCAGGGGTACAGTGTGTTTGCAAGGCAAGTTTGAGCCAGGACACAGAAGCACATAAAGTCTGTTAATGAATAATGGATCCTATGCATGTGCGTTTTGCAGCATGGCTTAAAAAATCAACACCTTCAAAGAACAATAATATGCAAGTGCTATTGAAAAAAACCAAAACAAAACAAAATGAAGACATTTAATTGCTAGCGTTGGGAATGGCAGACATTCTCCTCTGAAGAGAGTGGGAACCCTGCAAGCATGATGGCAGCTGCAGCAGTACCTCAGCTGTACCCTGACACACCTTTGTATTCATCCACTTGTGTTGTTCAGCACAGGTAGTGGTGATGATACCATAGTTTGCTAATGAACTATGATGCCTTGAATTTCTTTCCTATATCTGAATATTGTTATGTAGCCCAGAGCTACATAACAATAGCCCAGATCCTCAGCTGGTCTCAGGCATGTTGGCATTTCATGGATTTGATGGAGCTGTACTGTACAGCGGTCTAGAGCTCATCGTTATTTTGGATTTATGAGTTAGCAGCAGGAAATGCCTCATCTTAATGTTTCCAATGTAAGGACACAGTGGACTAGGACAAAGAAAGATAGCCAGGGCCCCCATATTTCTGCTGTATAAAGCTCACACCAGTTCTTAACTTCACTGAAGGGGAACAGTTAATTTCACTGAACTGGAAGGACCTGAATTTCACTGAATAGGAAGGACCTATTCCTAACAAGTACACCCCAGGCCCGCCAGGACCGTCTGTGACAATATCAGCACATACTAGCAGAAAACACTGCTTTCCCCAGCTTGGGAACTGCCCAATTTACTTCATCCACGTGAAAGTAAACCATTACAAAGAGTTAGAAAAATTAAATACTTACTTGGTCCAAGACCTATGGAAAAAGCAGCAACATAAACAAGCAGGCTGGCCAGCGAGAGCCATTTCAGGACAACAGGAATTTCCCCGCTTTCCACGTGAGACCCTGTTGTGCTTTTGCCTCCTACAGAGGCTGTTCTGTTCAGTTCTCCCATCCCGGCAATGTCTGGGCTTCTCTGTGTGCTGAATGACAGTCTTTCTGGTAAAGCCATGCTAGAAAAGATGTCCTTGAGACTCCCATTGGTGACACCAGTGAGGTTTCCCTGTCTCAGGAGAAAGAAATCCTCTGGAGATTGGCTTCTACAGACGGTGGTGAAATTCATGTGTATGTTGCGGTTCACTAAGCCCATAGTGACCAACGATACTGCCATAACAGAGGAGCCAATACACAGAAAAGTTTTACTTCCAACTTGATCCACAAAAACTGTGGCTGGGACTGTGCTGACCACTTTAACCACTCCAACTCCAGTAGAAGCCAAGCTGGCAGCTTCGTTGCTCTGGAACCCAACTGACTTCAAAAGAGTCGATGCATAAAATAAAATGTTGGGCTGCCCAGTTGTTTGCACAAAAAAGACTAGAGTGAGTCCTACCAACATTCGAGCCCTCATGTTGTTTTTTGAACGAAACAGGTCCAAGAAACTATACTGATGTTCATCCTTCAGGGAAGACTTGATCACAGTAAGTTCTTCAGTAGCATCTGAGGTTTCCCGTAGCCTCTCCAGTACTTTTCTTGCAGCTTCATCGTTGTTTTTCATGACAAGAAACCGAGGGCTTGGTGGAAGGAAATACATGGCAATAGCCTGCAAGGCACCTAATGGAATCACAAGGCCAAACATGTACTTCCAGCCATGAGATACGCTGGCAAATGCGTAATTTGAAATATAGGCAAAGAGAATGCCTATCACAATCATGAGTTCATTTAATGATACGAGGAGGCCTCTTCTGTGCTGTGGGGCAATCTCAGCAATATACACACACGTGGCAATTGATGATAACGATATGGAAATACCTATGGCAATCCGTCCCAAGATAAGTATCCCGTATGATTCATAGGGCAGTAAAATCAGACTCCCCAGCACAAGTAAAGAGGATGAAATAATAATAGCAATTCTCCTTCCAAATCGGTCTATCAGGAATCCACCAATAAGGGATGCAAATAAGGCCCCAAAAAGTAGGGAACTTACAACAATTTCCTGCTCTTTGCAAGAAAGTGCTAATATGCTGCTCATCTGAAGAAGAGCTCCAGAGATAAGGCCCAACTCATAACCCATCAGAAGTCCACTTATAGCAGCAATGGCAGAAGATAGACAAGTAAATGTTCCACAGCCTGAAATGAGAGGAAAAAACACAAAAACTTGAAAGTGTGACTTCTGCAACATTCTGAAGACTAATTTTATTTGATATACCAGTCCAAAAAAATCTTTTTGTAACTTCTAGGCAAAGCAGTTAAGTGTACACAAGCTCAGCAGCAGTGGTGATTAAAGGCTAATTTAAAAAGAAAAAAAAATATATAAAACTCTCTTATTTTAATACTTTTAGGTTCTTTATCTTCCTGATCAGAAGTCAAAAAGATTTTGACCAGACCCTACATAATTAAGCCTTCTGCCTCAGAATATCATTACGAAAGGCAACACTGACAATACAACCTCTTAGTAAGAAAGCAATTTTTGCCTTAAAACATTCTCAGTGTTTTTCCTGCACTGAACTGAGGAAGTCTTGTCCACCCGACTAGTGTGCCATGGGCAAGGAAAGTGGTAATTTCCCAGCCAAATTAGTGGGAACCCGGACTTCAATAAGTTAAGTTTTCCCTTGCCACTTTCTAATTCTTTTGCTTCATCTAAGGATGCCATGAAGGCTGCTGGTACCAGTGTTTTTTCTTTGCCAATGAATATGTATCCACTGACACCAGGCTGATCCAGGTAGCTGAGATATTTTAGGGAAACCAATTTTTGAGGTTCAAATTATGAACTTTCTGGGTTTTTCTCATCACTAATCTCAGATTCTTTGGAAAATCAAGATCAAATATTTTGCATAGTTTATGACAGCCACAATGTCAGGAATAAAAAACAGATGGTGAAAACATAAACCAAATGGAGATTATATGCCTTTGAACATCCACTTTAAAACAAACTCATTTTATACAACTGCACTGAATGTTTATTGTTACAAGATAGATTTAACTGATCGTATTCTACTAACTGTGAAGCCTTTTGCACCCTAAACCTTGAGGAATACATCAGTTTGTTATTATTGGTCTTGTTCTTTCTCCCAGCATGATTTTCCTCTCATCATGATGTTGGCTGCGACACAACTAGGAAAAGAGTAAACTGACTTCTGATTTTCCGGTTAGTTGGAGAGATGGGATGTGTCTGAGGAGAGGTAGCTTTTGCAGCATAACAGAGTTTGTATTTCAGTTAATTCTCCTGGAACAAGTACTTTCCAGCTTGGTTGGAAAGTGGTATATGGTCTAATTGAAAATTATACATAGACTTTGTTTATTTTCAGCTTATTTTTCTAAGGCATTAAGGCTCTTTGATCATGCTGACTGCCTCAAGTTCCTTGCCAATAACTTTTGAACACGTTGGCGAGGATCAGTCCCATTTGACAGGGGATATTACATTTCTAAAGCAAGTCATGAAAAGAGGGGAGGAGGGCGGACCTAGCAGTATGCCTGCACTATTAAAATAAACAGTGCCAGAGCCCAGGTCTGGACCCTGGCATGCAGCCACGTTTCCTACTAAATTATCAGGTCCCTGGCATGGTTGTGCCCCACACCACCTCCCACTCTCCTAACAATTCTGGGAGGCAGCCTGGCTAATTGGGAGAGCCCACCATCACGCCCTGCAGCCACACCGTAGGAGGCCAGGTTATTTTGGAGGGTAGCAGAGTACGGCTATATGGATACAAGCTGTGCCTCCAGGGCCAGGGGAGATGTGTAAGCCCATTAAGTCTATCAAGATGAGTATCACTTATTAGCTCTCCTGCCTGGCTCTGGGTATGCTCCCTTTGAGTCCAAGCAGCAGCAATCCCCAGCTATTGGGTGCACCCACCCAGCACGCCTCGGCCCACTGCCACTGGGCTCCGGGGCTGGCAACCCAGAGACACACCAGAGATGGGCAAAGAACACATGGGTTTGCTATCATGGGCCGTAAGGACATGGGGGAGATGGGAGCATTGTGGGAAGTCTTTCAGGAGGTGGGGGTGGATGATAGATTTATTGTGATGGAGGTGGGACAGCCTGAAGAAAATGTCAGAAAATAATTAGCAAAATGCTTTGGTGATGGAACAATCTTTTTCTCATATTGTTGTCCATGTCTGTATTATGCCTATAGCTTTTTCATCCTTTATGTCTGCAGTATCCGAGATCAGTGCACTTATCTTAAACAGAGGTTAGTGCATGGGTTAAGTCAAGGCCCTGCTGTGCTTCCTTTGCAGACTGAACAGCGCTCCAGTTTAGCTGCTTTGTGCTCCACCTTCCAACACGTGCATTCAGTACACATTTTATCATTGGAAAACCTAATTTCTCCCTCCTCTTCTTACTTTTGACTTGCTTGCTTGCTGTATATTACTAGAAATGGAAAATATATATTTTAATACATTTTCCATATTTATATGGAAAATATACCCTTCCAATGAATCCTGGCTGGAAGTCAGGTCTGGTAACAACACTGAAGGTGTTGTGCTGGATGAATGAGCTTGGGTATCGGAAGCTATGCTGCTAATTTGGTCACAGTGTTCTTCTCAAACTACTGGTCAGTGCTGATATTTGTGCTTTCTTGGATTCTCTGTGTTTTATGTCATTTGACTATGTAGATTTAACCTAATATTTTTCTTTATATTTATTGTGAGGCCAAAAGAGACCATTGTGGTCACCCAGTCTGACTCTCATGAACAGCACAACATAACCCTTCAGGCATGTTTAAATAACATTTTATTTGAACTAGGCTATTTCAAATATTCCACTTTGATTCAAAAATTGCTGGTGGTTGAAAGCCAATTACTTTAATCATAAGTTGTCCCAGGAGTTAACTGCTTTCACTGTAAATTATTTGTAAGTTATTAGTAGACTTAATTTCTGTAACTTTGGCTTCCAGCCATCAGATCCCATTCTCCATTTGCCTGCACTTAGCTGTGTTCACTAAGTACAAAATTAAAGCCCGTCATCGAGTCACCCCACAGACCTCTCCTTGATAAGCTACTTAGCCTGTGAGGCTTTGCAAGTTTACCAGTCCTTTATTCAAAGCTATGTTCTCTGAACTCTCTCCAGATTACCAATTCCTTCAATAAATTGTGAGCTGGGCCCAGCACTCCTGCAGTGGCTGCACAGTGCCAGATGGGAACTTGACATAATAGTCCTGCTCCAAGTGGGCATTTGCCCCTCTACTCATCTAAGGATTGCCACAGCAGTGTATAGGAGCTCATTTTCCACTGGTTATTCTCCAGGACAATCAATTTATTTTCTGACTGGGTTCTTTCCAAGGCACTGCCTTTCCTTTAAGTATGGCCTGCTTTCTTGCATCCCAGCTAGAAATGTAAATCATTTGTGTTGGGCTGTATTAAAACACATAAGATGGGTTCAATTTACTGAACAGTGAGAGATCTACAGCATCTCCAGATTTCTACTGTAACCACTTGCAAAAAATAGGCACTTCTAGATGTCTGAAGTAGGTCAGATGCGTATTTGTCTCCATTGCCTATAAAAGGAATCTGTGTGGCTTGCTCAGCTGCAGCTGTCTAAAGTTAGCTGAGGGGAACCCCAGACAGCACACTCACTCGCAGTCAGCAGGCCAAGACATCCGAATTGCATTCAGCCAGTGACATATCTCATTTATTAATCACCCGTCACCTTTATCACCCGTAAACAACCCCTGATTATCTTCTTCTAGGCAATTGAGAAAAAACGTTAGGTAACAGAGGGACAAAAACTGAGTTTAAGGCTTTCCAGCAGATATATAGTAGTGTGAGCAGCGTCTCCCATTGATACTTTACAATCTATGTCCTGCATGACTTTTAATTCTTTAAATGTGTGACTGCCAGTTTGGTTCCAGTTTCTGATTTAAAATTATAGTGCCGAGTCAAATATCTTGAAGAATTCTGTTCCTGCCCTCCTCAGCCTGTGGTCCTCAGATCAGAGCAACAGAGGTGATTATTTATTTTTAATCTGAGAGGCTGTACAATCTGTGTGTGGAGTTGCTAGGGAGGGACTCAGGATCATATATTTCTTGCATCTCCAAGTACAGCGGCTTGATGAATATCTCAGGTTTCTTTGGTTAGTTTATACTCGGTCAACTGCTGTCCTTGTTCATCTGTCTGGTGACACATGCCCACAGTGATATAGGGGTAGTGGTGGTTTGTGCTAAAGCAGACCCCTGTGTGAAAATCAGATTCTGATGTGATGCAGAGTCACATTATCTTTCTGCATTAGCAGCAGCAAACTCAGCAGTTAACTTGGTGTCTCTTGTCCCTCACAGGCGCTATTCAGCTGAGAAACACCCTTGTATCACTCTGAGGTTCTGTTGTAATTGGTGTACCTAAGATTTGCCTGCTCAGAATGGCCTGCTGAGTTAAACCCTGAAATCTCTGCTTTTCTTTCACGGTCTTCCTCCAGACAAAATTCCCCCTGACTTCAGCATATGTTTTGCTTTAACATTTCCAGATAAAGCAAGTTGCAGTAGTTGTACACACAGTCCTCTTAAGTGCCACTTTTAATGATGTTGATGGCAGTTACTAGGAATTCTTTTTCTTTTTTTTAAAAAAAAAGCTTCTTAAAATATATATTCTTCTTATTTTTATGAGATGCCTGCAAAATACATGGCAGCATGCAGCCCAGGGCAATAAACTATTTTAATGATGCCTTCCAGAGAAATCTCTCCTTCTGCCTGCAACAAACACCATGGCTAAGGAGTGTGAGGCTGGTATGTGACAAGTGATTGGAAAGTCTATGCTCTAGTTTCCTCCTGTAAACAAAATGGTTTCTCACAACTGCTACTCAGGTCAAAAGCAACACTACTTGGCAAATAAAATTCTCTTTGAGAACATTTGCTGGAAATGTTTATGCTTGGTTCCTGAAAAGGAGACCAAGCGCAGTTGTAGTATAGCACAGTGTACTGCTGATGGGACTGGATAGGGCCAAGTTAGTAAGGGTGTGCCCCTTTACTTATTTTCAAGCACATATTTGGGAAAATACAGTCCTACCAAAGGCAAAATATTTGGTCTGTGCATGTATTTTATAGGCATTACAGATAAATTAGCTGTGCCAGGGAAGATCTGCAAGCAGCCTGAGCTGGGAAACACCACTCTTCTCCCGCGTCATGGGCAGAAGAGCTATGGGAGAGGTACCTGGGAGCCCTTTCTAGCTCACCTTGGCAGTACCACACTAGTCCAGACACTGAAATTTCTGTCATGTAGCTTTTCTTTCCTTTCCCCCAAGAGAACATGCAGTGTGTTTACAGAAAACTAGTGGGGTGGGGTAGGGGGGGAAATTACTTCTTTACCTGACCTTTGCAAATACATCTGTTTTGGCAGGAGGGGATTGGACAGTATCTTCCAGCATGGTGCTTTCTTCTGTTGACTGTGATTTAATCTGAGGTGAGAAATGTCTCAATTTGGGAGGGAAGAAAAGTATTTTCCTAGAAGGTCAAATATATGGTCTTTAAATCCTTCGGGACTCTTGATCTATTTAGACATTTGGAAGGTGAAATCAAGCCCTGTTGACCTTTGCTTAATAGCCAGAGATGAGAAAATCATGATGAGTTGAGGGCATTGCATAGATATGAATCTACAGCATGGAGTCTCCCTTTTTCAACAGAACAAGACATCTACATTAATCCATGACAAATCTTAAAACTACAGCATCTGCATCTGAAAATTTTACGCTATCTTAACAACATCTTTCTTCTCCAACCCAGTGCTGTCTGACATGTAAGTTTGCCTTTACAGAGAAATAGTGTTTAAAATTCCTCAAATTGTCTTTAGAGGAGTGCTTTGCTGAAGGGTATAGCGTGTGGATTGCATGGTTTTGTAGGATAAGTATTTAATGGCATGTGTTGAGATTTGTTGCATAATTAAATCACAGTTTTGCTTCTCATAAAAGGTGATTATCCCATTTTCATGCCATCATGAGCTTTGCTGCGTGGTCACAGTCATCTCTGTCTCATCCAGCTGTCTGGAGTAAAATACGTTACCCTATTGATCTATGCTGATTCCTGAGTTTTCTTTAGATCCAGCAGCTGCTCAACAGGGGCATTTCTCCTATTAGCTAGGATACATCTGATGTAACTAACTGATGTCCGTCCAGAAGTCTGGCATGGGAACTAAAACAGTTACCCAAGAAGACCCTGTGGGATGAAACAAACGATGGCTTTGGGAAAAAGTTATGTTGCAAGCAGAGCTGGAAAATCTCAGAAAATATTAAATTTACCCCAAAATAGTGTCAGGACCATGTGGGATCTCGAGCATTTGACAAATGTGACTCCTCCCTCCCAAGCCTGAAAGGCAAACCCAAACCAAATATTTTGTAAATTGAATTAAAGAAGTAGGCAGAAGGAAGCTGATGTATTACACATTTTCACACATCTAAATTCCTGCACTGTATACTTTGTACAGAGTAAACCTGATGAATGTATTGTGTGAGTAATATTCAAATTTCATTTATAAAAGCCCCCTGGCACTGATGGAAAGGCAGGGAATACAGATCCTGGACAGACCCACCCTGGCCCTCTCTCCATCTCTCTTAGTGCTCTGCCATGTATTTTCATTATGTCAACAGGCAGCCTGTCCTTTCATTACATTCAATGGGATTTGGGTTTTGCTTTGTTATTTTCCAGTAGTAATCTACAAGTTCTTTTAATTTCTAGCTAGGTAATTATAATTTCTGAGGGTAAGGCCAGGCGTGTAATTTGCATGTACTCTTCTAACCTTGTGCTGCAGTAACTTTGCTGTCTGTTTACTGTAACTGCTGTGCCTCCCTTTGATAACGCTATCCTATAACCATCTGCACTGCTCCCCCGTACCCTAAGGTATCATTAAATACGTCTGCACGCCCGCTGGCTTTCTGTTCTTGATTAACCTCTGCTTCCAGGTATCAGTAGATGTTGCTGGACTGATCACTGTTACACTCCAACAAAGCGTTTGTGCCTGTGGTGTCTGAGCATTCACGGGTTAGCTTACAACTGTGCTTTCCTGTTTGGATACAGCTGTCTTCTGGGTGAGAAATGTCGTGATTGTGGGTCATTTTCTCCTTGATCTTATCATCAGTGAAAAGAGCCTCAAGATGCAAAACAATGCCATAATTTAGAAAAACCAGCTGCATAGGACAGCAAAGGCGAAGAGTTACAAAATTCAGCTTCAGCACTCAAAAATCTTTTGCCAAAGAAACTCTACAGTTGATTTTTCAGAGCGTCAGCACAGAAGTCCTATTTCTTCCTGAAATGCTAAGGGAGAAAAGACAGGAGGGATTCCCCGTGCCTGCAGCCTGTACCTTCCCTGTCACGAGCAGGTGCAAAGCTTGCCTGGCCCCCCTCCACTTCACCCGAAAGGGCTGAACTGCTCCCGAGCGTGCAAGCACTGGCGCACCGCTGTTATCTTAGACGGCAGCGAGTTCTCTGATTTTTCAGGTGACTGATCTTCAAAAAGGAAAGGGATAAAGGGGTCTACACGACAGGCAGCACATGCATGAACACTAGGACCGAGGCCTTTGGGGAAAAGTATCGCATAAACCTTCATTCAAAATTCAAGCCGGCATTCCCCTTCCCTACTCGCATTTACCCCTCTTGCACGTTCTGAGACGGCGCGCCCCGAGGTTCCCGGGCTGCGGGGGGCCGTGGTCCCCCAGCCCCGAGCATGAGCTGCACAGGCAGTCGCGGGGCTGGCAGCTGGCGTTCAGCCCGGCCGCTGTACCTGCTGCAGCCAGGAACGTGC